GAAAATAACCTCTACGATAGGCACTATCTTAAAAAAATCTGGATGAGGGGATATTGGTTTTATTTCTTGTTCAAATTAATTATGAAACAATAGGAGTATCTCTTATTTTTTAGATTTTGGAGAAGATTGCTTTCAAAAATCTTCTTCCGGTTATTATTATTAAATATATAGACATTTAGTTATGTCAAAACTTAGGTTATTTCATACAAAATATATTTTGAATACACCTGTCTATCTGCTGGTGTCATTGGAGCTGGTTGTCTATCAGTAAGTCCATCAGGAACATCTTTGAGTAACTGTGTTAAACTGATTATTTGTTTCTAACAGGAAACTCAAATAGTATTTAGTGGGTTGTCATGAATCTGACTTACTTTGGAAGTATCACTTAAGGCAGTAATACTAAGCTCCTTAAACAAGGCTAAATGTTGTACTTCTAAGTAAACTATTTATTCAATGAATTTAAAATCATTACAAAATTTATAATAATTTTATTTTTCCAAAACAGGAGATAAAAAACACACTTGTACAGCATTGTTTCAAGTTTAACTTAAAAAATTATTGTACTTTCTACCTGAGTTTGTGGAAGACCTTATCTCAGAACAAACGAGAACAGGGTGCAATCTAAGCTTTCTCCACAAATGGGCAGATGTCTGCAACCCACCTAGTAGTGAATGGTGTTAGCAGCTTTTTACATTAAATCTGAAGCAAGATTTAACAAAAGCTTTTATAGAACCATATACTATTTAGTTTGTAAGTATAAAAATGGAAATAGCATATTTCGGGTAGCAAAAATTATTTAAGCAAAATTCAAATTATTGTTAGAATTATAGCAATATATAGTATTGAAGTAGTTGGTAATATCAGGATAAAACAGTGAAGGGGAGCTAGATCACAGAAACAAAATTCCAACACAGTGTGCATTTGCTGATAGCATCTAGTGGGAGGAACATACATACTTTATGCTATAAACTTTGGAGGGTGAGAGTTTAGGAATAAAAGAGTAGCTCAGGGTGACGTTTAGGACAATTTCCATTCCCACTTCTCTTTTCAAATATAATACTGAAATAAAACTCTAAGTCTCCTCACTCATATGGCTAACTTTGAAGAGAAGCAGCCAGAGGAGATAACATTATCTTCCCTCCTTTGTGAGTAGAAGGGCAAGGGAAAATGGTTTCTGGGGAGATTCCGATGAAACGTGGAAATTGAAAAGTGGGGACTGATGCCCTCAAATGACAGCATAGCCTCAAGGTCTTTACACTGAGTTATGAGTCAGATATGAAACCTGCTTTATCTGTTCCCTTTCTCCACTTCATGAAGAATAGATGCCTGCTTCTACCAGAGTGAATTCCAACAAAAGATATTTTACAAGAGAGCTGTGCAGAATTATTTTATCAAAGATTGAACATTCCTAAAAGTGCTCTCACCTCCTTCTTCCAAAGGAACAGAAAAATAAACAGAATGTAATATCTAATCCTCACACTGTGGTTCCCTTTGGCAAACAAGTTTTAGAAAAGTAAAGAGGGAATCAAGGATTCACCCTTCCCACATCAGAGTAAACAGTAGTCTGGACACAGACCATGCATTATGGAAATGATTAGAAAAATATTATAGGCATGGAAATTATGCAAACAATCTTATGTTAAAAAAAGAAAAAAGAGAGAAGGGGAGAGAGGAGAGACAGATATAGATAGATGATAGATGATAGACAGATAGAGAGCAAAGAAGTTTGGAAAGAAAAATAACCTAAAAAAAAACACAGAAGAAAATTACCCAATGTACTTCATAAGAGAGTTTACTAAAATATAAACATAAAACATTTTTATTAGATGTTTTTAACGTTTTATTCATTAAATGTTTATTAAAACACACAAAAAATAATATAATAAATGACATTGAGGATGGTTGCTGAAAAGGTGGGCTACATTGTCAAAGAGCTTATCTCCTGTTCTTTCCTAAAAGTAAATCAATAATATATGTTTCACGTAAAGTGGAAAGTTTCACTGAAGAACATGTATGATAAGACCTCATTTTAAATAAAATAATATCTATTAGTCAATCATTGCCAAATAATGCTGCATAACTAACACCCTCAAAATCACAGCCTCTTATGACATGAGTCATTTGTTTCCCACCCAAGTGTCTGTGGGTTGCCTGGGCCCAGCAGGACTTGACTCCCCGGCGTTATCAGGTTCAAACGTGCACCAGTTATCTTCTGGGACCAGTGAACATTCTGCAGCATATTCTTCTTACAGTGGCGGCAGGAGTCAGAGAGCAAGCGCAAAGCCTTTCTATGCAAGCAGGCCTAAAGCCTTAGCTCACTTTCAGTTCAGTTAATTACCTTTTTATTGTTGAGTTGTAAAAGTTCCTTATATATTCTAGATACAAGAACCTAAGCAGATGTGAATTGCAAATATTTTTTCTCATTATGTGGGTTACCTTTTTATTTTATTCATAGTGTCCTTGAAGCACTTAAGTTTTTAATTTTGATACTGTCCAATTTATTTTTTTCTTTTGGAGTCATATCTGAGGAATAATTGCCTAAATTAAGGTCATCAGAATTTTCTCCTTGCCTTTTTCAGAGTTTGTAGTTTTCTCTTTTACATTTAGGTCTTTGATTTATTTTGAGTTAATTCTTGTATATGGTGTGAGGAGAGTCCAAACTGATTCTTTTGCATAACCAGTTGTCCTGGCAATATTTTGAATATACAATTGTCCTAGAAACATTTCTTGAATAGAATACTCTTTCTCCATGAGCATAAATGAAGGGTCTATTTCTGGGCTCTCAAATCTATTCCATTGCTCTGTATGTTTAAACTTATTAACTTTACCACACTATTCCTATAACTTTGTAGTAAATTTTTATATTGGGAAATGTGAATCTTCCGATTTTGTAGTTATTTTTCAAGACTTTTTGGCTATTTTGGACCCCTTGAATTTCCATATGAATTTTAAGATCAGCTCTGCAATTTTATTTTTAAAAAGCCAAATGGAATTGCATATATAATTTTTTAAAGTTATTAATTTTTTTAAAAAAAATATACCTTTATTGATCTCAGAGAGAGGAAAGGAGAAGGAGAGAGAGAGAGAGAGAGAGAAACATCAATGATGAGTCACTGATCGACTAGCCTGCAACCCAGGCACGTGCTCTGACTGGGAATCGAACCCTGATCGCCTGGATCTTAGGTTGAAGCTCAACTGCTGAGCCATGCCCGGCTGGGTTAAAAAGTTATTAATTTTTAAAGATATACTTCCTTCCAAAATACTGAATCTCTTCCTTAAATTTTACATAGATTGATACTGAACAGATTTCCTATAATGGGTTAGCAGTTATGAAGGAAATCGGATTTGGTGTAGGTGGCCGTGCAAATGCTGAGGCAGCAAAAAAGGATTCAATTAACAATGTAATAGACAGGAAGGGAAATGATTGAAATATGTAAGTGCAGGAACAGTACTCCAAAAGGAGAACATAGCATGTGCTGGCACAAGGATGTGTGGGAATACTGTACGGCATTTTCAGGAAACAGTATTCGCTAGAACTCTTATATTAGGTTTGATGATACAAAATGAGTCAAGAGGTAGACAATGAGGAGATTATGACTCATCTATTACTGCTATGTCTATATGGTCACATTTTAAAGTCTGTTTTAAATTCTGCCTCAAAAAATTTAATCATACTACTAAATAAGTATCCAAAATATGAATAATACCAAAATGAATTAGTAAATCTCTAACTTTGAAAAGAAATGATATATGAGATATGGTTGGTAGAAAAATCAATAACTGGAAAACCAAACATTTAGTTTCAAAGTATTGTGAAAGAGGGGGGAAAATTGTATCACACCACACATACAAAAGAGTTTGAGGTAAATATAGTCAATATTGTTTTGGAATTCTGAAAACTTATGGTCACATGTGCCATCAATGGGTTGACTTTTTTTTTTTTTTTTTTTTTTAAGTAAAATGAACCATAAGAATTGTGCATATTAAGCATTTAGACCTCACACCTTTCCCACTCAGTGACTGACAATAGTGTGTGGGACTCCTACCTTTATAGAGTAATTTCTTCTGGTTTTCAACATTTTATAAGTAAACAAAAAATAAATGTTAAAAAATAAAAAGAAAAGATGATCCACTCAGTGGTTGGAAGTGCTGGTTTAATCACACACAGGCCATTTACTGTAAGATTTAATGGAGTTTTTACTATGCTCATGAGAGTTGTGAATTGCCAAGAGGGAGACACAGTGGAGCACAGTTAAGCTATATCTAGTAGGCTTCATAAGGCTGGGACAAAACTATGAGAAGGTAAGTCAGTACCACAGAACATGGATGCTCATTTTATTCTTTTTTTTTTTTTTTCATGTGGTTGGGTGTAGGATTGCCAGCTGGAAAAGTACCAAAAAAAGAGTACTACTTGGAAGAAGTGTCTGAGAACAGCATGGCCCTGGGCTCTAGTGTCTCAGGCAAGTTGAAAGGTAGAGATAAGACATCAGCTCTGAATAGAAATCTACAACTGAAATTGGGGATTCACACCTTGAAAAATCTTATGTAAAATGCACCAACCCATCTGCCAGATCAATTCAGGCTCACCCCATATAGGGTTTGCCACTGAAAATGAAGACATGAGTGGAAAGTTACAAGGTTGTTGTTGTTTTTTCCTGTTTCATACTACTCTGTAATCTATCATTAGGCATTTAATAAATCACGTAACAACTTTCAAGTCATCTGCAATTTAATTGACCAGAAATCAGTATCCTGACCAGTGAGGAAAGGAAAATCACTGCTCAAAAGCACTGGAGACAACGGGCAAGGAAACCTCAACAGAAACATTCACTTTTCTATGGGGTCTTTTACACTGACATCCTTTTTTGCAGAACGAAAATTCATGGTAACACGAAACTTTATCACTTTTCACCTTCTTGGAGTTTCAGAGACAAATCTTGCACACACACACACACGCACACACACACACACACACACACACACACACACATTCAGTTTCTCCCCAAAATAGCTGCATACTTTTATTTGGTGATTCAATACATTTTTAATTCAAATAGCCACCACATAACCTAGGCACAATATTAAGCATTTTACAAGCAAAGTATTTTACTGATTTCCTTCTCAATTGCCAAAGAGTACAATAAGTGAACTGGTTATACTTCTGTACATTAAAATATCCATGTATTTATACAAGTGTGTGGAAGAGAGTTTCAAGATAATAAAACCAGAACATCGCAATAAATAGGATGTGTTCCTACAGGACAGCAGAGCACACTTTTCAGGAAGCCGTCAAGTCTCTTTTTTCAAGGTGCTTTGTGTTCTTCTGAGCTAGGCTCGCATTTCCCACAATCAGGGTTCGGGGATAGTAATGATGGATCTGAATGCCTATTTCCATATGCCACTTTTTATTTGCATCTCCAACAATAGGAGTGGAGGTTATGATAACTTACTTATTTTCAAAAGTCTTCACAACGTACCAAATTCTATTCATTTCCCACTTCAATATTTTAAAATGCAGGTTAATCTAAGCTCTAGCACCGTACAAGAACGAAATACATGTATTTTTGTCAGAGCAACAATATTTCATATCATCTTTGTTCCTCTGGCTATAACAATTCTGTTTAGAAAAATTTACCAAGCTAAAAATAGTTGATCTAGGTTGTCATAAAAAAAAAAAAGAATATTAAATACCTTTGGTAAAAATAGATATATTTAACAAGATTAGAAAAGCAAACAGTTATAATGTCAAAAGGAGAATATAAAAATGTACACAATAAAACAAATAAACCAACTTATAGATAAAGTGAAGATAAGGCCACTCTTCTTTTCAGGTTTGTCTCCTCCAAACCATGAATGTAGTTCATGTCTTCTAAATGGTAGAAATTTTTATAAGAAATATGGAAAATCCAGTCTTTCTTATCAACATGACACAAGTTTGATTTATAGCAACACAGTTCCTTTTTTTCAAAAACCAAGTTTGTAGACCATAGAACACTCCTGTTTATATATGTGATTATAAGGAAAAAATTCCAGATTTCTGTGATTTTAGGCCCAGAACATGGAGCTTGAGAGTTAATAAGCAAGGCAATAGAATCAGGTGCTCATCTGCACACATTTCTTTCCTGTACTGACATTAACCTAAGTCATATCAAGGCAACTGAAATATAGAACACAGCCAGCTGAGTAAGTGCATGGGAACTCTGTAACTAGCTAGTGATCTACAACATTTAATATTTTTTTCCACGCCCGGAGACCTTTTCTCCTGTCATTTGGGCCTCCTCTCAAGAGAGCTGTTGCACAACTCCTAATTCCGGCTGGTGTCTCCTCTTTTAGAACTCAACGTAAATCCTGAAGGATGAAAGGTCCCTGAAGCAAACAACTGAGATTATGGATGGCGGTAAGGCATCAGTCCTACGGGAGTCAGCGCTGAGCGCACTGTGGGGACACAGCTGCCTGGCCGATGTGTTATCCTCCTGCGTTCCCTCTGCACACGCAGTCACACTCCTCATGGTGCTCCAGGGCCACGTCAGTCAGAGATTTATGCAAGCCCCTGACACCGATCTTTGGTCTCAACTGAAGGACCTGAAGGAAACAATGTAAACCACCGTTAAAATCAACCAATATCTATAATTTATGATTTCATAGACAAGTAAAATTTCAGAAAACAAATGTGAGGCCCAACAAAGACCTACAGATTTTAATTTTTTTCTAGTGAAGGCATTAGGAATACAATCTCCCACCCCTAAAAACAAACAAACCCCACATCAAAGATCAATCTTTCATGAAAGAAAGGATATTTCAATACCAACAATTTGGAAGGATGCTGCCTCAGAATCAAGAACAGTCCTAAATTGAAAGGCTCACTATGCACCCTTTGTTTTACTCATTTAGCAAGACCAGAGAGAATTTAACCTTTGGAACCACTACTGCACTCTTAAGTTTTCTGTTTGTTAGTTTCTTTCAGTCATTCATTTATTCACACATTTAACAAATATTTATGCTTGAAGCAATACATGCAAGTACTGCGATGCTGTGACAAGAAACATGATCACTCTGCAGCTGAGTTAGCTCAATTATGCCACTCATTAATTTTCTTGGCTATACTTCAAGTCCTCTATAAACTTGATGAGATGGATTAGATGTACTTCATAGACATCAGCCTCCGTCACAGCTAACTTTCTGCAGCTGGGTCCTACTGTGCAGTGTACGGAGGTTTGGCAATAACAATAATGGCTCTACTTAATGAAGTTACTTGCACTTTGGATTGCTGAGATTTTTTATAAAATATATAGCAAAATAGACACTGATGCTGAGCATATTTCCTTTCAACACAACAAAAGGACATAGCTATGGATTCTATAAAAGATTACCTGATATCCTTGAAAAGAACAACCTATTTAATGTGCATTACATTTTATTTCTTATAATAGAAATTATACATTTTTAAAAATTATGTTTGTTTGTATTATAAAGAATCCCTAGAGCACATAATAACATGAAGTTGTGTAGTTTCTTGGCTCTCTGGATGACACAGATAACTTCATAGAGCAACTTCTCAAAGTTCCTGGAAATGTTCATTAATCCTTAAAGGCACAAGTCAAGTCTTATGACTGTTCTTGAAGATTAAAAAAAAAAAAAAGACTGTATACCTCATTTAGAGAATGTGGTCATACCAAAGGTTAATTAGCTAACATTTTTTGAATGCTTATCAGTGCTGGCCACTCTAATAAGGGTTTTACACACTTTAACTCACAAGAATTCTATGAAGTAATTTACAACCATCCCCCTATTTTACACATGAAGGAAGAGGAGCTTAGAGAGAATAAGTGACACAGCCAGTATCTGCACTTTGGCCAAATATAAATTATTAGAGCCACAGATAATAATTATATGGAGACTCAGAATGTTCTTAGTCACACATCCTATTTATTTAGTAACTTTCTTTGTAGAAAGATAAACTGCAAGTCTTAAAATAACTATGGGAGCCAACTTTCAAATTAGATTTTCTATTACATTTCATAATGCTAGAAAAAAATTACTAAAATGTATTATTTTAATGTGCTTAGTTAGACAGATAAATGGCAATATTGACAAAGCCAGTGTCTTTAATTCCTATCTCCACTTGTATACCTTTTCCCAGGTTGCAGGGGGAAAAATTTCTATGAAAGGTACAGGTGAGAGGCTACCATATGCCATCCTGACAGTCGGTGGTGCTAAGCTGCAATCCTCCAGCACTTCCTTCCTCTAGCAGTGCTTATGTCAAGATACATTCACCAGTAAAAAGTCCCTTATC